TTGTTTTTTCCCCATTATTTCTCTGCTTTCTTCTGAATTGAGGATTTTCTGTCTTATTTTGATTCTTGGGGCTGGGGGTATGATTTTTCTCTGTGTGAAATCCAGGAGAAGGAAGTCTTCAGAGACAGGAAGTAGAGCTGGGCCAGCAGAGGTCGAGGGGAAACGGGCGGAGACAGCAGTGGACACGAGGGAAGAGATGAGTCTGAACAGACGGAGGCCTCGGGCTACGTGTTCCTCTCCCAGCAAAGGTCACAGCTGGACGGTTTCACCCCACTTTCAGGAAACGGGTGGTTTTGATCTTAGACACTCTTTCCAGAGATGAGTCCCTCGTGCCGAGCAGGCTCGCTGCCCTTGACACTCCATCTGGATGGGAGCAGGATCGTGGGCGAATCTCACCGAGAGAGACACAGAACATGGACACCAAAGATCCACAAACCAAATCCACATGCCTGTGGGAAAAACAAACCAACCAACCGGAAAAGACAATCCAGAGGGACCATGCTGGAATGACCCCAGGAATCCCAAGAATGCAAGCATTAGGAAGTCTGTGCCCTCCTCCGGCGTGCTAGCATGCCAGAGCACAAAAGTCCGAGAGAAACACTGAAACAACTCCGTCGTCCTGAACGACAGGGACTCTGGGAGGGTGTGAGTGGAGGGGCACGGCGAGACCCCCGATCAGTGTGCAGTGGGGCTGGGGGGCGGGGCTGGGGGAGGAATGACACATTCAAACCCGGGACCAGAGAGGGAGGGTCCCCCCACCGTTTCTCGTCACCATTGTTCACAGAGCAGGAAGAGCCACAAAGAGACTGTTAACCCTTCACAGATGACACCTCTCTGCTGTCAACTCGATGCTGACTTACGGTGACCCTAGAGGATGGGGTAGAACCGGCCCTGTGGGTTTCCAAGACTGTCACTCTAGGGAATCGAGAGCCTCATCCAAAAGTTCCAGGGCGTTGTGAGAAATCACGAAGACATTTCATAGCTGGTTACTCGAGCAAAATAGAAAACTCAGTGGCATTCATACAGGTGGCCACCAAGCCTGGCCGCTCTTTCTCGACCACTGAATGAGCCTTGGCTCCGCCCCCTGTCCTGCGCTGCTCTGGAGGCTCTGCCTGGGCTGTCGCTTGGCGTCTCCAGCATGTGGAGAGATGGGTGACGTGTGGCCACTGACTAGGCTACACCCAGGACACTCACATCTCCTCCCTGCCAGCCCCAGGCGCCGGTGCTACTTGATATGCACGCTGTGTGTTCTGTTTGATCGGGGAACCACATTTGCCGGGCTTCAGGGTTCTCCTCACAGGTGACCCCCACATAGCGGGCACCCAGAGTTTGGTCCCCAGGAGCTCTGAAATAGAAAGACCATGAGGAGACCCGGGTAGGGGGTTACACACTGGGACTGGCTTGTCCCTTCAAGCTGGGTGGGCACTAAGGCAGAGGACAGGTCGCCCACAGCAGGAGCTAAGAACAGGACTTGGCGGAGGTCGAGCGTGGGAGGAGGGGGCTGGGACTGGACAGTGCCATCCCTCCTGGCACCTAGGGGCCACCTCGTGTGTCAGCTCTACCACACTGGCCCAAGCCCTACCGCCCTCTGGCTGAGCCACCTGGAAGTCGGCTCCCCTGGGGCATGATTCTTCTGAGAACACAGAATTCTCACTCCGGCTCTGTTAAAAAATGTAGAGTAGACCAACTTATCAAAGTTTTAAAAAATGCAGGATGTGGACCTGATAAAGTTAATGCCCATGGATGCCGAGTTGTGTTTCCCTTCTCTGGTGGGACTGGGGCTCATAAACCCCAAGCCATACGCGAGAGAAGGACACCTCTTCTGGAGGGTGGCCTCCAGGGGGCTGAGATGGCCCAGCAGGGCCGAGGCTGGCTTCCACAGTGCGCGTGGCCAGGACCTCGTGATTGGAGGCAGTGGGTGTTGCGTGGGCCTTGCCGGCCTCAGGGTGCTGCTTGCTCAGTGACGTCTACACCACCTTATTTCTTACTTAATAAGGAAGGGTTTGTGTTACTTACAATTTCAGACAGTGGGATTTGGTACAGTTACATGGCTTTTTAAACTTTGTGCCCCATGAACTAAGGGTTATTCCACAAAGATTAAAAAAAGAAAACGTATCAGGTGGCTGCTCTCTGACGAGGGCAGTAGCTAAGTAGCCTGTGTCTTTGAGCAGGTACGGAGTCTCAACACCAGGCAGTTATGGGTGCGACTCACAGGGGCCTGGAGGGGCCTGGACAAGGCCAGGCCACCTCACATGGTCTGGGGATGCCTTAGTGGGGCCAGCTGGGCACCTGGGTGGGGAGGGGGCACCTACACAGGGCCACCTTCCCAGGAAACCTTCCCGGGGGCGGGGCAGGGAAGTGGTTCTTCTCATCCAGCATAAACCCCTCCTTGTGCCTCCTCCCGCCCCCCTGCCCCCCAGCAGCCCTTTGCATGCCATCCCCCCAATCTGGGGATGCCTGGGCAGGTGCATTTGAGCCGAGCAGTAGGCCCATTGGGAGAAGACGAGGCTCTCTACTCCAGTCAAGAGTGACAGCCTGGGACCCACGGGGGTGGCTCTCCCCTGTCCTACCGGGTGGCTGGGCGTTTGGCTCTCAGGTGCAACGGAGGGAAGGCAGCGGCATCACCAAGCGGCTCTGATCGCCCTGGAGGGTGCAGCCCGTGGACCGGAGGAGGGCGAAGCAGGAGCCCCTGGACAGTGAGCATCTGGGGAGTGGCCCGCCAGCGCCTTCGGTCTCCAGGGCCCAGGAGAAGTGGCAGGTGGAGAAAGGCTGTTTGCAGAGGAGTGGGAGTCTATGTGGGCCCCATGAAGGGCGTGGAAGCCTGTGGGGAAGGAGTAGCTGGCTCCTTGAGATGCTGGGGTCTGGCCAGGATCACACACCATGCTCGCTGGCTGGCACAGAGTGTGCGCATGCCCTGTTTTTGTGGTTGGCGTGCTTTGTCCTGGGGTCCGCGCCCTCTCCCCTTGGCCATCAGCCTGTCCTTCTCTCTGCTCGGCTTGGGCCCCCTCAGGCCTCAGCCATCACACACACACCCCGCCCGGTGGAAACAGACAAGTCCCTGGCATCTGCTACACAGGCTGCCTGCAGTCACTTCTGCTGGTCTCCCACTTCTGAGAGAACTCCCCAAACCCTGCCACTGAGCATGGGGCTCATGTTATCCACCACACCTGGCTCTGCCCCTTTGCAGAGGGCAGCTGTGGCCTAGGTCCTGGTAGGTGCCCAGAGGGGGGTACTTAGACCGACTGACAGCTCACTGAGTGTCCGTGGACTCGGCAAGGTGCCAACAAGCCTGCTTGGACTGAGGGGGCCGCGTGTGGCCTGCTGATGGCTTTGCGGACATCCAAATGCTTCTTCAAAAACAAAGCCAGGTACACCGAGGAAGAGGAGGCCATTCTCTCTGACCGAGGCCAAGACCAGAGGCACCAGAAATCTCCAGGGACCATGGACAGAGCCAAAGGAACGCTGAGACCATGGCCAGTGGACAGGGCGACTGGCTGGCATCCAAGTCTAGAGAGGCAGAGGCCAGGGGCCACGTGGCCGAGAGGCTGAGGTCCAGACAGGGGGACTTGGCTGCTGACTGAGGAGCCGCGGCGGCTGTGGAGCAATGGCCGGTCCTCACTGCTTGCTGACGCCGGCTGTGATAGCTTATTAAGGTCCCCAGTAAGCCCCACATGTGTGGGGAAACCCAGCCAACGGTGCCTGTCCCGGCCGAGTCGGGAAAAGGGGCTCTCGGCCATGGGACAGTGGAGGCCACTAGAGGTCACCAGCCACCTGGCAGCCACCTGTGAAGCTGCAGGGAGGCAGGAGACCACCACCCTCTATGGTCCTGAGAGTTGCTCCTGGCAACAGAGGAGGTTCCCGTGGGAAGAAGCGCAGCAAGGGGTGCAGGGAGGAGCAGGGCCAGAGGCGAGGGAGGACCCAGGGAGGGGACCAGGTGACCTACAGTGGAAGCACAACTTAAAGGTACCCACAGAGCTGGTAATGCTGGACTGCTTTCCTGGGGCACAGCCAAAATTACAGCAGGAGGCAAGGGGGCAGCCTGGCATGGGCGAGCCTGCAGCTGTCCCCGGCTGAGCACCACGACTGGACCCTCCTGCCAAGGGGGGACACGAGGAACACATGTGCAAGGAAGTGGTGGGATGGTGGGTTAAGCAAGCATTGGGCTACGGACCAGAAGGTCAGCGGTTCGAAGCCACCAGCAAGCAGCTCCCCTTAGCAGCTGCTCTTCTGTCTGTCCTGCTCCGTGCCAGCTCCCCAGAGGCGTCCCATCCCCTGGGGGCTCGAAACCTCGGGGGCCAGGCCTTATCCTGGCTCCACGCTCTTGGGGGTGGAGGCTGTCCATGAGGATGGGCCAGTGTGGTCGTGGTTGTTGGAGCCACAGGACCAACAGAGGCTGTGGGAGCTCCTTCCTGACCTCCTGACCCGCTCGCTGATGGCTTCCACCCGAGTTGTCGTCATCCCAAGCTCGCTTACTCTCTCTCTCTCTCTCAACTGGAAGGCCTCACAGCCTCCAGAACATTCTACTCAAGTACTGCTGGCACCGGATCCATTCGGCCCTTTTTCTCCGTGGGCATCCCTGTCACTGGCCCTTGGGGCATGGGTGTGATGCCGCTGGCTTGGTCCCTGCAGAGCTGTCCTGACCCTTCTTACCCTTCCTCCTCTCTTCCTGCGCTCCTGAGCCTCCCCGCCTCCCTCCTCTGTGCCACCCCTGTGAACCTGAGAGAGACAGACACAGAGAGAGTGCCCAGTAAGTGGCAAGAGACTCTGGAAGAGGGACACAGCGCAGCAGGCGGCCGGGTGCCCACCACTGAGGCCCCCAGTCCACCTTGTCAGCCACAGAAACCAGGCAGGGGCAGGACGCCTAATGACCAGGTCAGCAATGGGGATGAAGGGGCGGAAGGTTTTTGCAGGGATGCTAGTTGCTCAAGCGCCCCTGCAAGCATAGCCCAGGGCTCTGGTGCCACAGCTTTACAGGGGCCACCGAGGGTCGCTCTTAACCCTTACCCAGCCAGAGTCAGCTGCGCAGGTCCCGGCAGGGCGGCTCCACTGACGACTGGCGGGAAGGCTCCGTTCTCCAGCTGTGCAGAGATAAAGGCAGGGGCATCCTCCTTAGCAGGCTGCTTTGACACCCTCAGCCCCCTCCCCCCAGGCACAGGCAAGGCCTGCTCTTTCTGCTCCCCCTTGGGCCCCAGGCCCTGCCCTGATGCAGAGGTGCATCTATGAGAAAGGTGCCCACAGCCAACAGTGACCTGGCACCCTGCCCAGCCCTGCAACCCCCAGGGACATCGTCAGAGGGCTCTCGGGCATCCTGGGGGCCAGGGCTGCAAACCAACTTGCTGATGAATTTCTTTAAACTGACCGACCTGTCACTTGGTAGTCCTCCTTCCACCAGGGAGGGCGGGCTGGGCTGGGTGGACATCCTGGACCTCAAACTGCTTCTCTGCCCTTGGTCAGGAAGCCCTAGACTCCTGGGCAGAGCTGTGCCCAAGGCCAGACCACTTCTCCAAGGAGCTCACCCCAGCCCACCGGGCCCACCAGGAAGATTACAGGGGGGAGAGGGGGGGACCGGCCAGGCCAAAGGGGGCCCAGCCAGGCTCTCCCAGAGCTGGGGTGCATGCCAGGCTCTCCCAGAGCTGGGGTGTGTAAGAAGGGCAGCCAGACCACTCCCTTGGGGCAGCTTTCCCAAATCCCACACCCACACTCAAGCCCCAAACTACACCCAAACCACATCCCAAACCTATACCCACACCCACACGCACACCCAAATCTACACCCAAACCCAAGCCCAAAATTACATCCACACCCACACCCAAACCTATACCCACACCCACACCCAAACCTATACCCACACCCACACCCAAACCAACACCCAAGCCCCAAACGACACCCAAACCTATACCCACACCCACACCCAAGCCTACACCCAAACCCACTGCCCAACGAGAGGAGCGGGTGGCCTCATGCCATGGACTGGGTGCTGACTCACAGTGGCCTGTAGGGCACGGCAGCACTGCCCTGGGGGTTTCTGAGGCGGTTGGTCGCCCTTGAAGGGCGAGAGAGCCTCCTCTTTCTCCCGGAGCAGCTGGCAGGTATCGGTGAGCAGCTGAACACTTCAACCTCCTTAAAGGAGGGACGGCAATAAACCCGTGCCCCTGCCCCCTCCCCGACTGCCAGGCATGGCGACAGTGCAGCCGATAAGCTTCTCCCCCAGACCCACCTACAACCCTGTGTCCACCACCTCCAACTCCCAGAGTGCGGAGGGGCAGGGAGCCCGGCTCTCAGAGGGGAGGCCATCCTCTCCAGAAAGCAGGCCCAGTCACCCTGGTCTCTTCATGCTTGTTCCCCCCCAGGAGAGAAGGGCAGATGAGGGGTCTGCCAAGCACTATTGTTGGCGCTGACTCATGTCCATCCGTCCGTCTGTGCCCTCCCCACCATCCTTGTCATGGTGGGGCCTGTGGCAGGGACATCCTCGCCTGTCAACTTGAGCAAGGGGATGGAGTCCAGCCTGTCAATCAGGTCGCAGCTCGATGCCCTCATGTGGCTCACTGCAGGCCAGGCCCACTCTCACTGCCTTCCCTTTCCTGCTGTGGAGACACTCAGAGAGCTGGAGGAGACATGTGGAGACCCATGCCAGCATTGAGATGCTTCCACCGCCGCTGGATCCACAAGACCTTCCACCCACCAGCCTGTGACCTTCCTGCATTCGGCATCATTGCTTGTGGCTGAGTGAGCCTAAAGAGGAACTTATGGACTTGTATCAGACATTGGACTAATATTGGACTGACAGACTTGATCTGGTCTTCACAGCATACGATTGCTCTTTGATATAAAGCTCTTTCTTATACACATATGAGTGTCTATGAATTTCTCTGGTCCACCCGGACAAACACAGAACCCATGAGGGCAGCTGCTGTCTGTCCATCTCCTTGAGGGCCTTGCTCTTTCTGCTGCCCCTCTGCTTCACCAAGCTGACCTGCTCCTGAGGACATGTCCACAGCACCGGAGACAAGCCTCGCCCTCCTTGCTACTCTTCTGTTGAGACAAGGACTGTAAGGGCCCGAAGGCAGGGCCAGCTGGAGACCAGGGTCCATGGCTTCCTGAGGCCGTGGGCAGCCATCGAGGCTGGAGGGCGGTGGTCCCAGCCTATGTGGCACACAGAAACACCTGGGATCCTCGGACTCTGTGTGTGCAATGTGCTCCCAGGCCAGGGGCCAGGCTCTGAAGAAAGGGCCTGAGTTGGTCACTTGGCGAGGCTGCAAGGGGGTATCCAAGGGGGCAGCCAGTGCACTACAGAGATTGTGGTCCCGGGGCGTTCCAGTCTGGGGTGAGGCCTGAGGAGGGGGCCCACTGGCACTTCTCCCAGAAACCAGGGCTGAGAGGCGGGGGACTTTTGGTAACAGCAAGCCTGACATGTGCTTATTGCCCGGTGCTGGCAGCAGCACGGATGGAGGGTTTGGCTGAGGAGGGTGCTCAGGAGGCAGGAGGTACGCACATAGCATCAGGCTGGACTCCACATCCAGTGCTCACAAGGCCGGGCTCCGACTGTCCAGCTGCTTGGCTCTCCACTCCCTCCTCGCGGGCTCATAGAGCATTAGAGAAAGATCTCCCTCGAGATAGTCGTCTCCCAGGCTTCTCTGTAAGGCGGCTCCCAGCTTCACCCTCCCAGCCTAGACCTCACTCCTGCTTGTCAGCCCGAATCGCACGCAGGATCCTCGCTGGGTATCTGAGCGACACTCATTCTTCGGCCCAGAGGGACTCTGAGGTCCCTCGTCTTGGGGACAGAGATGCCAGCCTCCTGCCGTTCGGGCTGACAGCATGGCAGCAGCCCACCTCTCTCCTTCGCTCAGACCACCAGCAGCCAGAGCGAGCGAGCAAGCGCCTTAGGACAACATAGGAAGCCGACCACTGCCCCCTTCACCACTGCCACTTCTGCCCGTCCCGAGTCCTGCCCCCACAGAGCCTCCGCTTCCACTTGGCCCATCTCCCTCGACCACCCGAGCCCCACCCTTCCCAAGCAGAGTGGACATGTCCAGCGACCACAACACTAATAGCCAATGGTCATTTTTATTTATTCTCTTATTAAACCAGCGACTCACTTGTTGAGTAAGGAGGTTCAGTTTTGCTGGCACGGGCAAAAATCTTCCCACTAAAGTCGTCCTGGGCTTCGTGACCTCTGCAAGGAAGAGGATCAGGGTGAACAGTTAGCTCCCACTGCGCCCAGCCCGGAGCACAAACACACACACTCTCCCGGCCAACAGGCTCCTCAGGGGCAAAGAGAAGATCGAGGAACATGACCCTCAGATTTTTGGGAGCCCCCTTGATTTTTGTTTTGTCTTTCTTTTTTATAACTCGACATCACCAGTTTTCTTTTTCTGGCTATAAAATACCAGATTCGAGCTTTGGGGACGCAGTTCCCAGTGCGTGCACAGAGTGGAGGCACGGCGCCACCTCTTGGGCACTGTGTGAACTATGTCCATGCCTGTGGCCGCTTTTTCCAAAGGGTCACTCCCCGCAATCTGCTAGTGCCCCTCGGGAGGCCTTTGGGGAGGAGAACTACACTCTCTAGTCACTGCCTGGTTCAACGCACTCCCTCCTGAGGCTGGGGTGTCCCTACCAGGTTCAGCTGGGGGCTCAGGTAGCATCATGAGGTGCTCCGTGTGGGCACAGTGGGGCGTGTGCCTCTTCAACAAGGAAGCAAGCACTGTAGGGGGGCGTCACAAAGCTCGTGCAAAACCACAGAGGCAGGTTTGACAGGGGATACCTGTCCACAGGCATTTGCCTTGCCTGCAAACATATCTGTAAATGCAGTGGACCTTCAAGGGGACAAAGTCACGAAAACTCCCTAACCGTAACCAGACACCTTGAGGGAATAAGTAGACGAGCTGCGGGTGGGTGGGGTGGTGGAGGGCACCAAGGTCAATTGGCATGACATGGCCAGAGAAACAGTCCGATGGGTTGATGACGGAGCGCGTCAACATCAGGCTCCGCAGCCCTGAGACCAGAAGAGTTGGATGGTGCCCAGCCGCTCTGCAAGGATACCAGCCAACAGGTCTTGGGTACAACCGGGTGGAAAATAAGGAGCAAAACTCAACATCATACAAAAGACAAGACTGACCTGTCTGGTGAGACAGGTGGACCCCCAAGATTGCAGCCCTTGGTTCCTCCACCCCATGGCCTCAGTTGCCTGCTAAATAATCTTCAAGTCTATGGGGGAGACCACAACAGCAGGGTGGCCCACACTTCTTAGAACAAGCCACGTCTGACAGAGGGAGGCGTGTTCAGAAGGGGCAGGAGAAGAGGAGGGAGGGAAACAGGAAACAGGGCGGGGCTGGGGAGTGACTGACAGGGACTGGGAAGATTGCAACGAATGAATGAAATGATGATGGCCGAGCCAACACTCTCCTCGTCAACCTGCACCCGACTAGCAATGGTGGGGGGGGGATGGTTAAACAAACAAACAAACAAACAAAAAACATTGAATGGGAAACGGAGTAGAACGCCAAGGGGATTTTCCCATGAATGTTTTGAAGCCCTCTCACAGAGAGCCTCCCTGACTGCAGACGAGACCCTGGTGTGTTTGTCCTTCTGTCGTGAGAGCCACAAGATGCCCTCCCTGGGTCCGTGACTAGGCACCTGGTGTGAAGGGGCTGCCCTTTCTCGGGAGGGGGAGAGGAGAGGCCACATCCTTCCTTCTGACCCTCCGCTCCAGGCACTTGGCCACTTGCACCGACCTCTGGGTGGAGATGATGTGATGGGCCTGGCAAGGGCCTTGGCCCGTGGGCAACGGAACACTCCTGACGCTTGTCAAGAACGCTCCTAAAACCACGCCGCCGCCGCCACTTAACCTTCTCGAATGGCTGCCACGAGGCCCTGCTCTGGGCCTGTGCCAGCTGCATGAAGGGCTGGAGTGAACCTGGGTCCAACCGGTCAGCAACCCATACCTAGTTCAAGCCCATGGTGGTCAAGCCAGGGGAGGTTCTCTTTGCTGACCTTCACACATTAACGTAGGCGAACATGCCAATTCCTACCACGCCTTCAAGGTCAGCCGGAGGAGAGAAAGGTTGGTGTGTCCACGCAGGCACGTGCCCACAGTGGGCTGAGCAGTGGGAGCAGATGGGCGTCACACCGGGGGGTCAAGATCTCTCAGCAGGTCGCTTACACGGGGGACAGTCCGTGAGCGAATTGTCTGAGGCCAGCAGTTTGGTGGGCAGGGATGTGTCTACATGCAGGCTAGGCTCAGAGCACACGTGTCTGGGCCAGGGTGGGGGGAGGGTGCCCATGGCCTATTTAAGAACCCAACGGCTCAAATTGAAAGAAAGAAAGCGAGAGAGAGAGAGAAAGAACGAACCCAACGGCCAAGTTCAGTCTGGCTCTCGATGCAAAGTCAGTCTTTTACTGGACCGAGAGAGGTTAGACACCATGAGCTGGCCAAGCCCTCTGTGTCCTGTACCTGGCTGCAGGTAGTTATTCTGGTCTTGATACTGAGGGACCAGGTGGAGGGCTGTCAGCTCCCTGGTCCCAGCGTGGTCTATGCACAGCATCTGCGTGCCCCCTTTCAGCTGGCAGATCACCTGCAAGGAAACCCATAGAACGTCCATCTGAGAACAGAGCTTTCTACCTGGGAGGAAAGATGGCCGGAGGGTGTGGCCAGGGCAGGGGAACCTCCTGGGAGGAGGACTTAATGGAAGCACCTGCTATGTCCCCTCTGTGTGTCCTCAGGCTGCAACCACTATGCTGATTGTGAAGCTGGCTTCACCCCAGAGCAGGTATGACCCCCTTCCCGGGGGGTGGGGGTGGGGGGTGGGGCTGGGCACACCTTCCATCTCACTGCCACTGTTTTCCTGCCAAACACTTCTTACTCCACACACTTTCATCGCCCAGGTTCAGCTCAGAAGGTCTGGCTAAGAACTGGAAATCTCTAAGCCGCCAGGCCAGCCTTCCTGGGTCTGAGGATCCGGCGCAGGCAGCCAGGGGGTGGTTTTAACCCTGCGTGAGCCATCGCTAGCAGCAGAGGGGAGCTGGCCCTAGGCAGGAGCCCAGACTTGCAGGCGGACTGGACACAGAGGACAAGGACCTCTGAGCAGGTCCTTGTGTGGACCACGCTAAGCCAAAGCTTGGGGTGAGCTGTCCCGAGTGGGGCCCCGTCTTGGAGCACAGAGCTCTGTGGGGAAGGGGAGGGAGTGTTCCTTGGTCTCTGAGCAGTTTGCAAAAGGGATCCTGGAGCGGGCCCCGTGGCTCCCTCCTCTCCAGTCTGTGCCCACCCCACCCCCGGCCCCTACACACAAAAAGATCCGGAGTCTGAGCTGCACCCACCCAGAGTTCCACCACGATAAGTTCCCAGCACCAGCAACCACGGAGGTGACAAAAGCCTGGGTCTCTTATCTACCACATGGGGGTGCAAAGGCTGAATGCAGCCCTGTGCCCATGTTATATGGGCTCTGTGGCTGGCGCCACCTCCAGTACAAGCTAGTGAGCATCACCAGGAGCTTGGAATGAGGTCAAGGCAGGAGAATGCCAGCACCCCTGTGGTAGCTACATAATCTGGTGTCAATTTGAGACTATTGAGAGTAAAAGTGTGGAGTCTAGCCTGTCAATCAGCTCGCAGCTTGATGACCTCATTTGGAGCCGCTAAGGAGATAAATAACTCGCTGGAGGTGGGACACACACTCACGCCCTGCGAGACATGCTTGCTGAGAAGACACATGGAGCTACGCTACAGCCCTGGAGCTGAAGGAGCCACGTGGAGACCCTTGCCAGCACTGAGATGCCTCTACCGCCACTGGTCCCACAAGACTTTCCACCCACTGGCCTGTAATATTCCTGCATTCGGAGTCATTGCATATGTTGTGTGAGTCTGAAGAGGACTTTATAGACTGGTTCTGGACATATGGGCTAATATTGGACTTATGGGCTTGATCCAGACCGGGCTGGGATGCTTTCTTAATGTACAATTGCTCTTGTATACATCACTTATGTCTCTATGAATTTGTTTCTCTAGTCTACCCAGACTCACACAACCCCACAATCACCCAGCTCAGCCACCCCTCTCCATCCCAGTGCCCGTCTCCTGCCCCGTCCCCTCAGGAGAACAGCTGTGGCCTGGTCATTGGATGTCACTGGCAATGATTTGGGAGACATGAGGGAGACTCTCAGTAGTCAGAGGAGCACCTGAGAGACCTTACACCAGAGTCCCCTCGCCCCCAAATGCTCCTTCCGCCGTCAGCGGTGGGGGAAACCAGGGAAGAGAGGGTCTCTGGCTCGAGGGGTGCTGCCACCTGTCCTCACCATGGGGTTGGGGTCCTTCTGGGGGCAGATGGCAGGGTCCTCCAGCTCCTGGGAGGACGGGAACTTGCTGCAGGGTTCCTGGGTGTGAGAATTCCCAAAGCTTGCTTCCTCCGGGTCGTTCGTTGCCATCGGGCCGCCCGCTTCCTTTATTTCAACCTGGAGGATAAAGCCGAAAGCAGGCCATCAGGACTGGAGAGACCCCGTGCTGCACCCACCCGCCCGGGCTTCTGCAGTGGTTGCATGAGGTACAGAACACAGACACGGCCCAGGCAGCTCGGGCTGGCGGCCGCCCTGAGGGGCTGTCAGGAGAATGGGGCAGCCTGGGGCTTTCAGTGGCCCATGTTCCTGAAGTCCTCGCATGCATTCCAGGGATTTAAATTAAACATAATGTAGAGGACGAGGAGAGGGCTGTGAAGCAGCGAGCATCTGTAGAGATGGCTCTGCTCTGGCCCACAGGGTCAGCACTGGCCAGAATTCACTCCAAGGTGGGGAAACGACAACGTGGTTGGCTGACGAGAATGCAGGTCTGATCCTAACACAGACAAAGGCACGCTTTAGCCATATGGCTACTGTGATACTTAGATTATGCCAACCTGGCCAATAGGAACATGTGGGATTCATCAGGTCACAGTTTGATTGGAGGGCAAAGAGATAAATGGCTCTGCAAGGCCCGCCCCCTCTCTCTTGCTCTCTGGTGATCAGAGTGCTGGAGCGTGCTGCTGCTGGAGCTGGTTCTCTGCCTCACCCTGAGTCACACCACTTGTGGGCCAAGCCTGTCACCTGGCATTTCTTGCTTTTCATATCTCACCTGGGCCTAGTTCACTAAGCTCCTGAGCTACTGACTGTTGGTGACCCACCCTGCTGCCTGCTGCCTGTGGGCAGACTCTGCCTGCCTTGCCCAAGGGAGGACTCTGCTACCTGCTTCCTTGACCTTGGACCCGGCAGTCCACGAGTTGGCTGTATATTAACTGTTCTATGGAAGTGAGTTCGACCGAACCCTCTGTACTGCTGTGCGGACTGATTAATTAGCTCTTATATTCCTTCTCGCTGTTTAACCTGATATGTATAAAATCATAAATGGCCTGGTTTTGTTTCTCTAGGGAACCTTGCCTAACACAGCTGTAGTTACGGCTTTCGTCCCAGCTGACCACTGTCCCGGAGCACAGGATGTTGGCCCTTGGCTCCTGCTTCCTGCACCGGGGTGTCTGCCGTGCCCTAGTCTTCAATGTGTAGATTCCATTGTTGTTAGGTTCCCACCCCATAGCGACCCTGTGCACCAACATCGCCCGGACCTGCCATCCCCACAATCGCTCCATGGCTGCAGCCACTGTGTCCATCCATACCTTCAAGGGCCTTCCTCCTTTTTTTGCTGCCCCTCTACTTTCCCAAGCATGATGTCCTTCTCCAGGGACTGGTCTCCCCAGACAACATGTCCAAAGTAAGTGAGGCAAGTCTCGCCATCCTTGCCTCTCAGGAGCACTCTGGTTGTCTTGCAAGAATCCAAGACCGATTTGTTTGTCTTTTTGGCAATCCGTGCTGTCAATATTCTATGCCAACACCACCATTTTTTTTTTTTGCCAGCACCGTAATTCAAGCGCATTGATTCTTCTTCAGCCTTGCTTAATCCACGTCCAGCGTTTGCATGCATAGGAGGCGATTGAAAACACCATGGCTCAGGCCAGGCGCCTCTTAGTCCTCAGAGTAACCTCCCTGTGTTTCAACGCTTTAGGAGGACTTGCGCCGCAGATTCGCCCAATGCAATGTGTCGCTCCATCTCTCGACCGCTGTTTCCGTTGAGGACCACCTGGAATTCACAAACAGTGTTGTGCTGCTTGTGTTGGACATTTCTGTCGGGAGAAGACAAGTCTCTGGAGAAGGACCCCATGTTTGGTACAGTGGAGAGACAGCGGAGGAAGAGGAAGGTCCTCCGTGTTGCACGAGTGCGAGGGTGGCGCAGGAATGGGCGTTGCTTGGGGTCTGCTGTGCGGGAGGTCGCTGTGGGCCGGTGTGTCAACAGCAGCACACACAGGGGAAAGTATAGAAAGTGCAGTTGTATAGCTCAATCCATTTTTAGGAAGAGAATACCCATGTCAAGAAACAGAATAGCGACAGTACCCCAGGAAGAAGCCCCCTGTGCAGGTGGCCCTATTGCTTTTTCTTTTCCTTCCTCTGCCCCACTGCCCCGCTTCCCGCATGCTTCAGACTGCTTCTTTGGGTGTGGAAACCACTCTTCTCGGGTGTGTCTTTTATAGCAGTGTTCTGCGGTGTTGGGTTGTCTCTACGAGACTAACTTGGCTCAGCAGCATATCTTTCCGTTGAGTGCTTTATCTTGTTTCCCAACTAAAACCTTTGGGGGACACATTTGGGGGGTGGGGGGTGGGCAGGAGATGGGGGACGAACAGTGTGGCTGATGGCCTCATTTGCCGTGAGACCGGAAAAAGGAAATGGGTTTGGCAACCGCCAGGTTTGATCAAAGACTGCAGGGAAGGGAATCCTCATCAAAAGGGGGGCGAAATATATAACAGAACATGACTTTTTTGGAGCCATGTGTGTTGGATGACCCCCTGCCAATAATGCCCTGAGTTCATCCTTAAACCGGAAGCCAAACACAGCCTCCCAGGGGGTTGTCTTAAAGCCAAACAACAAAAAAAGTGGGTTTTGCTATGTATGTTCTCATCAACACGGATTAAGAATGTTTTAAGGAAAACAAACACTCCTGGTTCTATGCTCATGGACACGAGGTTCTTCCAAAGTAAAGAAGCCTTGTTCGCCGGAGCCACAGACGGCTAGGGCAGAGCACCCCATTGTCTTGAGTGGATTGGGCCTCATGGGATCCCCCAGGTTGGAGGTGAACTGACCCTTGAGGCCCTAGGTAGCCCCTCTCACTTCCCTCTTGTTCTTGGCTGCCTCAAAACCGAGCGGGGAGGGAGGGTGCCCGTTAGGAATCAGCCAATCCCATGCCCAGACGGACCCTGGTGGGAACTTCAAGGACACAGCACACATCTCCCTGGAGGTTCTTACTGGAATCACGCGGACGCCAGGGTGGCCGGCTCCTTCCCTGGGCCAGGCACCCAGGGGCATGACGGCTGGGCTCCTGTGCGGGGCCAGCAGCGAGGACAGGAAGTGGACGTTGTAGGCAGGGGGCGGAGCCCGGGCCAGCAGCGTGTCCTCCATGGCGCTGGGCTCGGGGACCCCCAGGAACTCAGCCAGGACCTTCCGGTCATCCGGTGTGTCCCCTGGGAGCTCCACCTTGATGGTGGGGTCCGCTCCTGGCAGGGTGTGCAGTGCCCGCAGTAGGGGCTCTTTGGGGTCTGGGGCGCCCAGGTAGGCGTCTTTGAAAACATGGAAGTCGTCGTCCCCACGCTGGGCCTCCGCTGGGGTGGTCAGGGCCATGTTCTCAGGTGCGAAGTGGCTCTCGGCGCTCAGCAGGTCCGACTCCAGCTCGCTCTCAGGGCTGGGCAGCGCACCCAGCATCGGGGTCTCTTCCATGTCCGCATCGCCCCCTGCCCACTGATCCCGCCTGCAGGAGCCGCACCTGCAACCACGGGGGCTGGTGAGGGGACTGTGAACCCCGAGACCTAGGAGGGGCGCTGCCCCCACGACCAGGGACTCCACTGCTCCCGCCCCGAGATGACGAAGGGTCCCTCACGTCTGGAGATGATGGGGTCCTGAGATGAGCGGGG